TTGGGAAATTAGAAGGTGGTATAATATGTTAGTCCATAACAAAAACAGCCATTAAGTTTTCTAATTAAGTAAATGCAGAGATGTAGCACTAGGAACATGAATAGAATAGAGAATGTCTCCAGAAATAAGATCAACGGATTTGGACCTCACATACATTTTGCACAATGGAGAGCCTGTAGACAGAGGTCATCTATTATTGTGATGGCATTTCTATCAATCAAAGGAAATTGCAATCTGATTCAGAAAAAGACATTTAAAAGGCTAATGGCTAAGGCTGAGAGACCTTTGCCCCCAAGTTAGAGACAGTGGCTCTAGCTAACTGACAATATACATCACATTCTAATATTCTATATCTGGACTACAAAGGTTTGGTGTTAGGTTGTATCCCCTCAAAGCAAACACTATACGAATGCATTAAGAATTCTTCCTCCCAAACCTAAACTTAGCATGTGCTTGATGTCCAGTGCATACTGAGTGATTACACATTCATTGACTGGTTGCACTGAGCAATCATCTGAAAAGTGGAAGGAACTTTAGACAGTGCTCAGGCCAGCTTTGTTGTCTTACAAATATGGACAGTAAGTCTCCAAATAAGATAAAAAAACCTCCACCCTACATTTTCGTGGCTAGTTAGCAGCTCAGCTAGAAGTGAAGGCCAGATTTCCTTTATTCTTTGCTCTTTACAAAGCCAGCAGGAGCTCCAGGCAGTCATCTGTGTGATCTCCCACGTCAGTCAGCTCTACCATCTGGGTCGACAGGAAAACAGTGACTCATAAAATCCAACAGTCCTGTGGAATGTTTGAGAGGTGTGCTTTTCTTCTGGCTGTGAAGCATTTTCAGTTTTCGTAAATAAACTCCTATTTTAAATGCACTAGCAGAGTTGGCTATTTGACAGCCTTACAAGTCTTGGGCATATTTGGAATTGATGCCGAGCACAATTTTAAGCTAATGTGACAGGTGGGTCATTTGATAAGTAGAAAGCAAAATCGTGTGAGAATTGCTTCAGTTGAGATCACCTTTCTGTGATTCTTCCATAAACCAAAACTCGACCTCATTTATATCATGAAGCACTTAAGAGTGACAGGAAGGATGGCAGTTTGAAATTTGCCAAGGGCAACACATCAAGATAACTGAAAGTGTGCTATCTGAGAAAAGAGAAGGGACATACATACCTTTTAAAGCCAGGTTCTGCTACCTTCCTACCCAGAAACCCTTGCAAATTCAAGGGTCATATGGCTGGTATCTGCAGATAACCTTAAAGCTACAATAGGTGATGGAAAGACTGGGCTCCTTGGACACACAGAGTAGAAACCACTCTTCATATTAATCCCATCTCGCATCCTGGGAATACACCAGGGATCCCTGCCTTCCTGTCTCCTTACATCTTCATAGGATGTTGTAAGGAAATGAGACTAGACCTTCCATTGTTCATGTCACCTTGCTCAGATACTTTCCTCTGCTTCTTTGTGTGTTAATGTTTTGGGACATACAGGCAAGCACTTATCTACAAAATCACGGCCCAGAAAAAAAAAATGAAACTTTGGTAATATGCAGTAGCCATTCATCTTTTGAATATTCTTGTGCCTTTTCCACCTATGCACATTCTCTCCCTTACCAGAAGTTCTCCACTGTTCATTGCCCATTTGCCTAAATGCTACTTTCCATAGCTCAGCTCAAGTTCTACCTCCTCCCTAAAGTCTGTACAGTTCAACTACCCGGATTGCATGCTTCTTTTTACTCTACAAGAACAAATTTATACACTTGTTCTCCTCTGCTTTAAATATTCCATATAGTCTAGTATCCTTTCTTAATAAGTATGTGTTGCTTAAGTCTAAATAAGGTTCATCTCTTTAAAAAAAAAAAAGACATTTACAACAGGATTAAAAATAGGGTAGTCATCTGTAGCTGTTATTCTATCCCCACAATGGAAACTTCAAAGCATTTAGCATGTTGTCATTAGATTCCTTTCTATCCACCACATTAAGTCATTTCAACCCTCGGTCACCTTTAGAGAGGTCTAGGTAGGGCACACTAAGAGTCAGTTCAGAGATTGCATTCCTAGATTCCCAACTTGTTGTCCAGATCTGCTACTGAATCAGATTTAGACAAGTGTGAACTGGAGAAATGAACTAATTGTTACCACCATCCAAATAAAATGAAAGGAGCATTTTTATTAAGTTGGCTGGAGATTCAGATTTGGAAAAAAAAAAGAGAGCAAGGGATGAAAAAAGAATCCCAGCCTACAGCTGTCAATTGCTTTCTCTGTAAATGAGCTTTACTTACCTTAATTTTTTTTCCTATGAATCACGATGTGATAGAACTGGAATGTTGGAGAGGCTTTAAGTCAGGATTGAAAGATTATTTGCTGTAATCCAATAGGGATATTTGCTAACAAGCTTTATCACACTGTCACCTCTAATCCAGTCCTGCTTTGCTGTCCCAGAACATAGTTCTTTGCTAAATTAAAAAGTCCTGGATGTAGTACTCTGCCTATAAAATTTGATTTCAGAGTTTGGTCCCAGAATATATAGTAAAATTTTACAAATTTCCAGGTGTGATAACAAAGGTTACGTATTTCATGCACTTCACTTAATGGATCTGGCCACATCTTCAAAAGATATATTATTTGTGGAAGCAAGTCATGTGGGGTAATAAAGTAAGATAAAATAGCAGATAAACAGAGAGTTATGTGAAATGTTTAGTTTTCTAAGTATTCATTCTTTTGTTCATTCATTAAATGAGCAACTCCTGATTGTTTTTCCTGTGTTAATACTCATCAGAATGACTTGTTCAATTACTCAATGTATGTGTATTTTAAGTATGTTCTGCCAGCTAGTAAACCTCTAGTTATAAGTTGTTGCCCTCAAAAAAAAAGAAATTATTGAATGTAATTGACTTGGGGACACATGCATGGAGACAGATGATTGATAATGTGTATGTGTTTATATATATATATATATATATACATATGTACAAACAAGATAAATACATATGACATCACAAATGAATCTGAATGGCAGACTAAATTATCAAATATTAAATCATTTGACAGTAAATCTATTTTAATTCATATTTATGATGACAATCTTTCATATCCCCTATTGTTGGTCTTCCTTCCTGTCCCTCTCCCCCGCATCCCCCAACATATCAAATTTTACTTTGTTGACTTCCAGGTTGAGCATAGGCTTGGTTACAAAATAATCAATAGAGGCTTTGGACTCTAAAGGCAGACAGGTGGAAATATGTCTGTAAGAAACTAAGTCCACTGTAAACTTAGCACATATGGTGACAAGTATTATCTAAATGGCACTATGGGATAGTCTCTTAATAAATTCTTTTAAAGTGTCATTTTAAGTTTTTTTAATCATTGCCTACTTTTTCTAGCAATGCTAGAGGGGATTTTTGTCCTTCAGAGACATCTAATATTCACAAGTGAAAGGGAGACTTAGGGCTGGATGAGCAAAGCTACTGGCATCTGGTGGACACAGGCTAGAGAGGCTGCTCAGCCTTCTGACATACACAGAAGTCCTCCTAACAGAGACCTATCTGGCCTCAAACGGTGCTATGATTGAGAACCTGAGAAAACGTTGCTACCATCCAAAGACACGCACTCTAACTGAGATCAAGTTAGGTGTTGCAAATTAGCAGCCTGGTGCACTGAAAAATGTGCAGAAGATTTGCAAACTCACTATGGCCACTGGTTAGCTTGCATCAGATACATAATCCCTATGAGGTTCCTTTCATAAAAATAAAAGGGAAAAATTGCACAAGGTGAATTGTCCCTACTTCCTAAGTTTGTGGTGTAGATGTGTATACATATCATCAAAAGTTACACACACACACTTCAGTCTCTGAATCCTTCTTTCTGCTCCTGTCTTTGCCTTCTCAGTATCTCTACCCTGCCTGAGTCTTGGGTTTTCTTTTCAAATGCTTTGATTCCTTTGGTGGCAAAGCTCAAGCTCAGGCTGGGAAGTGAGTCACCACCCAGCAGCGAAAGGAGCTTGTTTTTCTTTCTCTGAGTGCATTTCTTAATAATTTCAAGCCAGATCCTTCAGCGTTCCTTGCTTGGATCTTCTCTTAATGTCTAAGACACGCGGAAGAAAAAGAGCTGTGGCACCAAGACATTTTTTAATGATTAGGAAGGAAAGTTTTTCTTTTAATACCAAACATAACCAGAGGGCAAAGAAGCCCTAAACCCCTGTTACATAAGCAGATGCTAGAGGAACCCGCTGGAATTGCGCTTTTTCTTTCCAGAAGCCAGATTGGGCTGATAGACCTAATGCCAAAAGTCAGCATCTCCGATGCGATGCTGTGCCCGACAAGGCAAGCAAAGAGAACTTTATAGTTAGAGGGGGGAAAAAGGTATTGCCCAAAGTGATGATTGGTGGGGCTGGGATTTACAGTGGGCAGGAGAGGAGAAACAGCCAGCTACTAGCGGCCGCTTCACCCCCTCCACCCAGCACAGAAAAGGTGCCACCGGATGCCTAGACTCCGGGCTTAGATCTTCAGAACGACTACTTCTATTTAGCTTTTTCTAATTCACAGAAAACACCTTAGTGATCATAGTCACCCACAAATCCTCCCCAAGCAAAATCAGATGCTAATCTCCTCTCCCTCTTCCTCTCTCCCCCTTTCTCCCTCTTCCCTCCCCTCTTCCCCTTTTCTCCCTCCTTCCTCCCCAAACTTCCCTCATCTGTGGTCTAAGTCTAGATCCCTGTTTTATTTCTCCCTCCCTCTCCAGTTTCCACTCCGTCCTCCGCTGTCTCCCCGCCTCCCCCCTCCCCCCATCTCCCTACACACATCCCTGCTCTCTCCTTCCTCTCCGCAGGCTCCAGATCTGCCCTCCCGCCCCTCCCCAGAGAAGTGTCCAGCTCCTCCCGGGGCTGCCCGCCCCGCGGACGCCCCGACACTCCTTCCTTGCCCACCTACTATGAGGAGCAGCCCCTCCCACCTGCCCATAAAAGCCAAGTGCATGTTACCAGCCGCGGGTCAGAGCACTTCCCCGGTCCTCTCCGTGGGAGCCCGTGGGAGCCCGAGAGCCTGTCTCCCTGATCTGACGTGCTCAAGGTAAGATAGCACTTGTGCGGGCAGCTGACCTCCTGTGGGTGGCTGCTGGCGAATAAGTTGCTTCTGGTCAAGGCGCTTACAGCTTGGTTAGAGTTAATTCTTAAGGATGCCAGATCAGCTGCTACTTGCTTAACTAGCAAATGGTTTGAAAACAACCTTCTGTTTGAACAGTAAAATTTCAACAACAGGAGGGGGAAAAAACCTTTTTGGCAGAAACAGCGGCAGAAATATTACAAAACCTTTTTCTCTCTTAAATCACTTTTTCCCCTCTTTTTCACTGTTGCTGAAGTTAAAATGTATCTCTTTGAATGTTGTGCTGACCTTTTTTTCATTGTATTTCCCATATCAGTAGGGGCAAAGAAAACTTTGTCCCATTGTCAAAAATGTACTTTAAAAAGAACACAATTAGCTTCCTAAAAATAGCACAGACCTTTTGGTCTGTTAACAATTTTGTGATATTTCCCAAACCCCCAAGACAGCTTCTGTGGGTTTAAAAAAAATCTTTCCAGGTTTAAGGGCTTGGAAAAAATGATGTGAACTGGTGCCCTTTGTCCAGGGAGAGTAATCAGGTGGCTAATAGATAGGAAAGAACAAATCCAAATTTACAAACCTGGGCAGGATGAGCTCTTCTACAGCTAGCATTTTCACCAGGTCCTAAAATGTCAATTGTGTTTGGAAAGAAGAAAAATGTATAAAAAGAACTTCATGAATTTCTCTCTACACACCTCAACCATCAAGCATTTCAGTATGCTTTAAAATGAGAGAAAAATACAGGCCAAATTATACAATATTTCTGTGTCCACCAGACTATTATTAAGATCAGCTAGAAGGTTTCGGAAGGTTTCATCTTCCTTGATGCTCACTCTTCCTTCCTGTGGCAAATGAAAAATCTATCTGATTGGTTACTAATTCTCCGAGCTTCCCAATGGTTAAGCTAGATTCTTAGTGGGGAGGGGAAAATAAACCAATCTGTGTTCTAATAGTGAGGTAGAATGAGAACTGTGCACCTGTGAAAGGAAAAACATATTCCACAGCTACTTCTGTAAAAGCCAGACTGTTGGTCCGTAATGTTTGCCATCAAAAGCTGTGGGTTGTGTGGGATGAAACTCTCTCATGTGGGAGAAAAACCCTCTTCAAATGTTTCCTCTGAAGAATTGCAAAAGCCATCTCAGAGCAGACAAACTGAAGCTGCCAGTCAGGAAAACAAACCACTATTTTAGCCCTTAAGGTACTTCAAGTAAGAAAAACAGTTCACTTTTTCTTTTATGTTTATTGCTTTTATATTGTTTTACATAGGGAAAAACTCACTGTAGATGTGGAAAATTCTACGCTGAACAATCAAAGAAAGTGGAATTTATTAGAAACTTAACTGAGGGTCTTTCAAATAATTGCTCCTTATCTTTCAGCTATGGAAAGGAAGGACAAAGATAGCTTAAAATTCTCTTTGGGATGGAAGGAATTCAATACTAGTATTTAAATAAAAGAGTTACATGTAAAGCTTTCTGTTAAATTTCATGTTAAATTGTTTTTTATTGGAAAAAAGTTGTTGCAAGAAAATGATATAAAATTACTATTGACCAAGATAATAGGTGACCTGAGCAACTTAAAATACCTCCTCTCTTAAGCCACAGTGCAGACTGTTTGCTTAATATTTGATGGACATGGGTGATTAACCATGACCAGAGCACAAGTATGGGACAAGGCCAAACCATGTAGCTGGTACTTCCAATTTCTTACTCCTTCCTTTATGGTAGTACTTGATTGCTGTCCATCTCTACTGGGTGAAAATACACTGCTTCATTCACAAGAACTCCCTGAGGGAAGTGTTCTAAAGGGAAAAATGTTCCACTGTCAAACAGCTCTCTGCTATTCCTAAATTTGGGGATGAAAGTATTCCATGAGAGTTTGCTTCTGGGTTTCTTGGCCACCATAAACTGACCAGCTGAACAGTTTAACAGTCACTGCCTTCCCCAGTCATCAGGTTCAAGCCCTAAGTAACTGGGTGAGATCATCTTAGATTACTCAAGAGCTAACCCTCCAAGGGGACATTACCAGTAGAAGTGATTCCTTCCATAGGATACCTATCAGGCAAGATTGCATGACCCTTGTGAAGTTTTTAGAAATATCAGTGGTGAGGTTTCATGCAGGTGCCCCAATATTGCTCCTTTTGCACAGATAGGCAAGTGTGAATCTCCCTTTTTGATATTGGTGACCATGCCTTTCAACATCATTGCATCAGGCTCTGAGAGCTTCCTTAATGTTTCTCAAAAAAGCAAATATGGATGCCTTTTCTCTTCTACTTGAAACACAGACAGGATGCCCTGCTCATTTTGAAGACCTGCTATACCTAGAGAAACACAATTTTTTAGATTTTTCTACTATTGTTAAAATTACAAAATGTCATCATTTCCAAAATTAGAAAACTATGCTACTTTATTTCCATTTGTAAAAAAAAAATCAAGGATCTAGAGATAAAGTGAGTAAGAAGTTGAGAGGAAACTGAGAGAACCACACAAGTCTCAGAAATAAAATAAAATAAAACCTCTAGCCACCCTCATTTATGTGGAGTCCCGGGGGCAGGAGTAATAGAAAAGAGCAAAAATCCATGTCTGCTCTTGGATTTTCTAAGGAACAGAACTATTGCCACTAATAGGTTAAGATCCATCTCATTAGACCTCTTTCTCTAACAGAATAAAACAGCTTAGCCCTAACAACCAAAATAATTTCATGTCTGCCCCACAGTAAAACCCACAGGAATTTATCAGTCATAATTTCAGAAGTTATATTACCAGTATACAATCCTCAAAACAGAGTTTTAACTGATGGATATGAAATGTCAATAAAACCAACTCCAACTCTCGTAACCAGCAATGTTGGGTAAGTATTTGGAAGTTGAAAGTTAGAAAACAGAAATGCACTACTTCTCCTTCATGGTCATTCAACTTGATGGCATAAGGCAACTTACAATGTGATTAAGATACAACCAAGATCTCCAAGTTCTGGTTCTCCAAGTAGCTGTCTGAGAAACAGACACAGGTGTCTCTTCAGGCCATAACTTGTTTCTCATCAATTGGACTCATAAGAATCTATGTGCATCATTTAAATAAGGCACAGATCTTATTCTAACTATTGAGAACAAAAGAAGAGGTTAAAGGGACAATGAGTGACTCTTGGAATTTAGGTAATCTTTCCAGCACAGTATAAAAAGGATCTCTCAAAACCTGAAGCATCAAGGAATTAGAAAGGAGGGATGGAGGCGGGGGGGGGGGGGAAACTGCTTACAAGTTGTTATCAAATGCTAAGAATCAAATAAAAAAGTAAAGTATCTTCTATAAACCGGCAAGCAATAATAAGTGTTTACATCCTACAACACTAAGTTATAGCTTTACTAACTACCCACTTTAGAGAGATAAGAAGGGTGAAGAGCGGGGAATGTGGCTTCAGTAACTACTATTGGGGGAAGGAAGTTCTTTATAGTCTTTCCTCAAGCAAGGAGATTTGTAGGAGAAAGTTGAAGGGAGCCACAGGAGAGCCAGGAGGGCTACAGGCTGGAAGGCCTCTGTACTCCAGACCCCAGGAAACCACTGGAATTGTATCAGATCAAACTGAAGTAAATAAAACAAACAAAAAATGCCCCCCCCGAACTAAAGTCAGTGACTAAAATAATAATGAATTCTAAGTTCTCAATGTTGCATAAGAGGAAAATCAACAGCTGAAGTTGTGTACATTATTGAAACACACCTGATGATTCACCTTCAGTGTCCTCTATTTACTTTGAGCTCCCTTCCTAGAAAATGAAAATTGGCCTTTCTCCCTGGACTACAACCTTTTCAGGATGTGCAGCTGCAATCCCAGTTCCTCTGCGCCATTGCTTTTTTTTTTCAGTAGAAGAAATTTCTTCCACTCCTATATATCCAGCTTTTGAAGTAGAACTCATACTTGAGGCGTTTCTCATTACTTAAAATCTCCTCTTACTTCTCTCAAATAGGATATACATTTTCACCCCATCAAATAAAAAAGAGGTTCATGTTTTTCTAAACTTGAATTTATATGCCTTAGAGGAAAGAATATTTCCAATTGTCCCTTGCCTCTGATAAATTCTCTTAAGATGAGGTTTCTACACATTTTTATTCCTGTTCTAACTTCTTGAAGATTAAACAGAATTTAGAGAATCCAACACATAAAGGCTGGAAGGGACTTTAGCTCTGATAGTAACTAAAAGTTTGTTTTACAGATGGAAAAGGTCAGAAAGGTTGATGTTTTTCCCAAGATTACTCCATAGTACAAGGCTAGGGCTCATGTAGATGAACTCTTCAGTCAGGGAATAGCTGAATAACTGAAATGTGTTTCCCCCACACAATGTGAATCTAGGGTGTTACTTATAAGGTGTTCTGTAGAAACAGAGGATTGCTCCACAGCTACCCCTCTAGGTAAGAATATCTAGGCAAAAATTGATACAAACCCTTGTGGAAAACAGTCATTCCTTACCACCATCACAATGACCTTGTAAGGTTTTTCACCACTCCAGAACCTGGAACAAAATAACTGCTGGACAAATCTGTATTGAGTGTGGGAGTAAATGAAAACTAAGGAGATAAGTGTAATAAAAAGCAATCTTCTTAACTCCTCCAATAAAAGCTTCTTTAAGAAATTTGTAAGCACATATAGTTACTGAAATTCCAAATGTATCAAGATTAAGATTTCCTCACTTTTGGAAACATAGGAAAGATTATTTAGCCTCATCTATGTCCTGCCATTTCTCTGCCTGCACTCCTCTATTTAACTCTTTTTCCTTTACCTAGTTCTAGGAATTATAATCTTTTTTTTCTTGGCAGCATGCTTAAGATCTAGTGGCAGAACAATTTTTATGTGGTCAGAACAAACACATTAGTATGTTATCATTTCTCCCTCTTCTCTTCTTCAGCAAGTTAATCACATTATACTTGCCCAAGTATTTTTAGAAAAGTAGCAGAAATTTTTACATAACAGATCATCAAGGA